TCTCCGAACGTGTGAACCAGATGAGACTTGCACTGCCACAAAACCGACGGTACACCACCGCGCCGTGAGTTGTCGTTACCCACAACGTTGCAGCGACACTCTGGGAGGCTCGACAACCGTCTCACGGAGGCCTCCGGGGGGGGGGGTGGAGAGGTGCGTACATCGCGGTAGTTCTCCTCGAGGAGGAAAAAATCACGAAGAGGGCGAACATGAGCGAGGGAATGAACGACGGCGTTGATGTAGTCGTTGTTCTTGATGTTGTTGAGGCCCACCACACCCGGATAGTAGACCGAACCATCCAGCGCATGGGACGGGAGGGCGATGCTGTCCAGCTTCGTCACAAGTTCGCGCGTGTAGCGAGGATGCAGCACGAACTGCACACAAATCGTTGGGAGTGAATACCCACAAAACCCAACGAGTTGTTAGCGTCGTCGCCCATTGCGAGATCCATCGGATCGGACGCGGCAAAGGTGCCAGCATGTTGGGCCAGGGCGATTACCTTGATGTCGTCCAGCGAGGGATCCTGCACCTCGTAGCCATCGGGCAGGCAGTAAACCTGGCCGGCCACGGTTAATCATCCGTAGCGCGCACTGAGCAGCCGGCCGATACGGGCGCCTACTACTACACGGCCCAGAAGTAGGCTGGGGGCATGTAGTGGACAAAAAGGTACCTTTTCGTTGAGGAGATTAATGAACACGTGGTGGTCCGCTTGCAAGCTGTGGTAGTAGGCGTGCGATCCTCGGCCCCTTCCTGCGGGGTCCCCACAGACGTAAACCACCAGCATCAACGGCAGCATAAGAAGGGAAAAGTGAGGATGGAATAAGATTAACGACAAGTGGAGAAGGGAGAAGGCGTGCCTTGGAAGTACTTGCCACACGTGAGGCACGCGTAGACGTTTACGTTGGTCGATGACACACTACACACTTTTTCGAAATCGAAGTCCAGCAGGGCACGGTTCACCGTGTCGAGGTAGGGACAGCGTCTCACCACGGCCCCCGTTGCGTGTGCTCCCCTGCGACTCTCGTCTTGCTCATCATCTACGTGCTTGGGTCTTTTGCTGTGGCTACCTTCAGCTCCTGCCACAGAATCGTTTTGGTTTTCGGACGAGGTAGGCTGTTTCCGCTTAACGACCTCCACCCCGCTCTCCTTCTCGCCCTCTTGCTGCTGCTCCATGCTGGTTTCTGCTGGACTGGACCGAGAAAGAAAAAGAAAAAGTTTACTTCTTTCCCACAGGGTCGACAAAAAAATAGAAGAAATGTAGCCCAGCGCTGTGCTGTGCCATGCCATCATGCTGTGCTGTGCTATGCCATGCCATGCTGTTTCCTCCTCTGCCCCATTGGTGGCTCACTGCCTCAACATCACCTATATGATGGAATATGTTGGATATTGTGTGACATCAATATGGTGTTTGAGTCAGTGTTGCATGGATGTTCATCCCACTGTTGTCATGCATGCACCAGTCACTGGTGAAGTTCAGGGTGCATAGTACAATCCAGTACACTGCAACTGTCATGGGCAATTGGCAGGGTTCCTCAGCAGGGAGTTGCATACCCATACAAAGGGGTGAGCCAAAAGATCAAGAGAGGTTCCTTGAATTGCTGGATGAGGTCAATCAAGGACTGTTGCAGTTCAGTACAGTATTACAGGTTGTGGAGTGGAAGGAAAGTGTTGTGGAGAATAATAGAGTAAAGGTGGGCAGGAGATGGTGTAGGAGGTTGAGTGGCTGGGATTATCCCAAAGGATATTGACAGGGCCTTCCCACTGGAATCAGTGGACACATAATCATTGAGGAAGACAAGGTTCAGGATGCATCCTGACAAGTAAGGTAGAAAACAGATGGTCTAGATCCTTGTGCATATGGCCAACAGGGAGGAGATCTGAATGTTTGAAAGACACCATTTGGTAACAGCCATTTGCAATAGGCATGGGGTTGGGATGTGGAAGGGAAGCATGACATCAGTTGAACTGTCCATTATGATTGACATGCAGTTTTGAGGATCCACCAAAGCCTCCAGTTGGTTTTGGTGATAGCAGGTGTGCTCATGTTCTACCAGAGTCAGAAGCTCCTTCTTATTTGCCTTGACCCTCTCTCTCATGGTGTGACATTGAGTTGTTGGTCATGGCACAGGTGGGACAGGGACCCAGGTGAGTAAACTTGTGGAAACTTAAGAACTTGTGGTCATTTGAAATGAGAGGTCACAAATGACTGTGGAATATTTGTGCTAAAATTGTGTGAGATTTGACATTTTTGATTTATAGGGCAGTTTTGAAGATATGGATCTGCATGTGTGATTTTGACATGCTAGACCACTGCTTATAAGTCATATTGAGGGATTTGAGATGAAAATGATTTGATAAAAACTTGGAATTTATGGAGTTAAAAGTGATTTTATCAGTCTGCCATTTCTCAAGATGCTCCCAATTTTGTCTTGCTATTCTTAAATTAAAACCATTTTTGTGTTATCAAAACTATTTTTATGAGCTTATACTCACAAACAAAATCACTTTTCAAAATGACTGGACGTCTCATTTCAAATGACCACAAGTTTAAGGTGAGTTTCAGTGTAGTCTGGAGCAGAGGCAGCACACCAGTTGGTGGCTGAGCTGGCACCAGGCCTTGCCAACTACAACATCATCACCTGTGCTGACAAGAACTGCAAGCATGCACACATGGTAAGGGAAGCAGTTCAACAAGACAGTGGCTGGCAAGCACAACAGCTACCTACCACTCCCCCAGGGCTCTGTTTGCCTCTTGAACAAGCACTTCACTGCTGCCAACCTGTGTGATGACCAACATCTCTCAAGTATATACACTGAAGCTGGTAACAGTCAAGCAGGAGACAGTTGGTCTTTCTCCTTTTCACTCTTTTTCACTAACTATCTGGCAGCATGTACAGATTGTCAGGGCTGTAACACCAGCATCTGCACACCCTCCAGAAACAGACTGGTGTCATCAGTACACTTTGGCCAGTTCTGTTGGAGGTGAAGAAGACGAGAAGCTGAGAAGCTAAAGAGACATGAAGATGTCTGAAAGGAAAAAGGTAATGTATTGAGGAGATCTGAAACGGTACAAGTGTGAAGTCAGAGGAAATAAGAGGGAATAAAGAAAAGAAAGGTAAACATAAAGAAAGATAGAGAAAAAAAGAGAGAGAGAGAGAGAGATGAAGAGTATCCAACACTCCCCCTTGAGTTGAAAGAGATTGCACGTTCACTTCAGTTTCTAACGGAGGCATCAACGTCGACGGGCGAACTGACAATCAGGAGATTGTCAACGTAGACGGATAGGATGACGAGCGGTCTGCCACTGGAGCTGGAGTGGATGAAGGTGCAGTGAAGCTCTGGGTCATAGGGTCCCTGGTCACCATCACTGCTAGCACAGTGATTGTGCAAGGCGTAGAGGCACAGGTCCATGGATGCCACTGTGAAGCCAATCTGGACGAGGAAGGTGTCGAGAGTGCAGTTCCACACCAGAGGGGCCTGCTTGTCTGGTTGACAGGCCATCAGCACATGCTGGGTTCTCAAGCTGAAGGCCCTCAAGATCTTCAAAGCCCACTTTGTCGCATGTGGCTTCTCGCAGAAGGCTGGGATTGACTTTGATGACATGTACACTCCCATACTTCAACTTGAGAACCTTCGCCTTCCCTGAAGGTTTGTGGAACAGTGGTGGTGTGCTGGGCGAGGTTCAGCGCGTGGTCCATTCGCCGTAGTTGGAGCATTGTGTGGGCCGCGTGTGTGGGCGCCTCGTGGGCAAGAGAGGAGAGCAGGTTCAGCCTCGCAGGTTGGCGCACGTTGCGGCCGGATCGGGTGACCGCCACAGTTTCGCCGCTGTACTTCGCGCTTGCGGCGGCTGCCCGCTCGATCTGCTTGCTGCTGGTTGTGGTGGAGCCGCGTGCTGAGCCGATGATCTGCGTGCTTGTCGGGGTGCACTCCGGAGGCGTTGCCGTGGCCGGAGCAGTTGCCGTGTGAGACGCAGGACCTGCTGGACTGACGTCCAAGGGCGCTGGCGGAGAGACACTGGCCGCAGCGCCTGAGGCCATTGGCGTGGGACAGTCAGGGCTAGCCAGGTCAGGCAATGGCGGTTCATGGGTCGACGCGGTCTCTGTGGAGTCGGCAGGCGTGTTGGCAATTGCATCACCGCCCAGGATCGGGGAAGACAGTGTAGCCAGCGTGTCGTCATCATTGTCCAGTAGCAGAGGGACGCAGATGTGCGTGGGCGGTGGGCGGTCATCTGGAGGACACGACGCGCAGCGTTCGTTGAAGACAACATTGCACGTGTCGACAATGCGGCGTTGGCTGACAATGTAGACCCAGTAGGTGGACAGTGAGTAGTCCACCACGCTCATGAAGCGCACAGGCACAGACTGCTTGGAGATCTTGTGCCGCTCGTGTGCGTGCAGGCGCATCCGACCTGGAGCGCCAAACACGTGAATGTGTCTGGACGGCGGTGCGACGCCATTCCAAAGCAGATACGGGGATGCACTGTCCAGGTTGGCCTGAGTGGGCGTCAGGTTGATGACGTTGCATGCGTAGCGTGCAGCCTCAGCCCACCACTCGCTGGGGAGGCGAGCGTTGAAGAGCAGGCACTGAACGCGCGTCATAACCTCGCGGTTAAACTGCTCGACGACACTGTTGTATTCAGACGTGTAGGGTGGTGTAGGCTCCCTTTTGGCGCCGATGTCAAGGATCCATGCACCCATGAGCGCGTTGAGCTCGCGTGCGTTGTCGAGATGGACCTGATGGATGCGCACCGCCGGAGGGAACGAGGCAGCAATCGCCTGAAGAGCCGCATGGATGGCGGTGGAGGTCTTGTTGGGCAGCGGGCGAACGAAATGCATGTGCGAGTACGAATCGGTGACGGTGAGTAGGTAGGCGTGCCCACCAGCTGATTGGTGCCTCATCGGCCCAATCAGGTCAAGTGAGAGGAGATCGCCGGGGTAGGCGCCTCGCACGGAGTGGTTCGTGCATGGTACCCTGCTGACGCCACGCACGGTCTGCTTCCCAGCAAGGCAGACGTCACAGATGGGCGACAGCGAGGATGACAGAGCCGCGCGCTTCTCACGCTCGCTGAGGTCGGCGGACTGCCGGACGAACTCGTGGCATCGCCGTTCACTGACGTGGCCAAGCCGATGGTGAATGAGATCAAGGCACAGTGGTGAGGTGGCCGCCACAAGCGCGGCATGTGGTGTGGCAATGTCAGCTGGAGTGAAGGTGATGTTGAAATAGTAGAGGTTCCCACTCCAGTAGCTGAACAGGTGTAGTTTGTCGTCCAGGTAGAATAGGAATCCGCATTGCTGGTCGAACGCGACCCGGCACCCGGCATCCAGTAGCTGCTGAGGTGAGATCAGAGTGTGTGAAGCGCCAGGTATGTATGCGACATCACACATCATGATGTTGCTGGCCTGGCCGTCGACAATGGTGGTGCTGCGCAGGGTGCCGTGCCCCAGACACTCGATGTGTCCGCCGTCGGCGCACACCAGCCTCGACGGGAGCGCGAGAGGAATGAAGTTGTGGAGCAGGTCCCTTTGGTTGGTGGTGTGTTGCGTGGCGCTGGTGTCGGCGATGGTAGGTAGATGGATGGGCGCGACCAGGGAGAAGACTGAGTAGTTCTGGAATGGTTTATTGGGTGTCGGCTCAGAGGAGAGAGCAGCACCGGCAGCAGACTCACTGACAATGGCGAAATCGCTTGGGTGGGCTGCAGCGGTGGCGGCGGTCATGGCGGCGAGAATGGACGACTGCGGCGTGTGTAGCAGGAAAGAAGACGCAGCCGCGACGGCGGCGGCAGTCATCGCAGCAAGAGCGGCGGTGTGCGCGGTCTGGGGAGTAGCTCGAGGCGTGGCGCCGGCGAGACCACGAGCGGCAGCCTCGCGACATTCCTCCAGCGAGTGACCACTGGAGTTGTGCAGGGAGCACCAGCGGCCTCTGTCGCTGCCCCAGTTGTCACGACGTTGCTGGCGTGGCAAGCGAGGCCCAGTCGGGTGCCGCGGTGGCAGAGAGTTCGGCGGCGTCTGCGCGTGCGCGCCGTACGGCGCTTGACGGTGTTGGAATGCCGGACGCCCGTGGTGCTGGCCTTGGCCGGCGTAGAGGATGGTGTCAGAGCTGGGGCTGGCATGATGGGAGGCCTCGACGTGGTCGAGTGCCTTGAGAACGGCCTCTGTGGCCGTGTCGTCGGCGAGTGCATTGAATTGAGCCTCGAAAGCCGGGTTGATGCTTTTGAGGGCTGTTGCGAGAATCATGAGGCGGCTCCGTTCCGACATCTTGTGTCCTCCGGTCTCGATGGCGAGCATGTTGATGAGGGCCTGGATCCGTGCCCAGATGGAGCGCACAGTGTCACCGGGGCAAACCAGGTAGAAGTCAGGCCATCCAAGGTCGCGCCGCGCGGCTTGGAGGGCGACGTCGTTGTTGCCATATCAATTATTGATCGCCATCCAGAGAGCTAGAGGGCAGCCGTCACTCATGCCGGATATGTCCTCAAGTAGCTCAGGGGCAATAGTACTGCAGATGAAGACAAAGGTTTTGCAACGTCCCTTACACAGCTCGCGAGCGGCCTTGAGGGCCAGTTCATCTCCAACGAAGGCGGCAATCTGCTTCTTCTTGACGTCTTCCGACTTCGCCTTCGCGGCCAACGACTTCTTGCCAGAAGTGGATTCCAACGCGATGGAGATTGTTGATGTGATGTCAAGAGCCTCAAACAGATGTGCCATATGCTCAGCGTCATAGTCATCCACCGCCTGGACGATCACAGTGTAGTCGGTGGTGACATATTTCGAGTGTCCTTGTTCATGGAGAGCAAGGCATACAGTTCAAATCCACTCAGCAAAGGACGATTGGTCTCGAAGCGGTGTGACTTGAAGACCGTTGATGTTGGTGTTGGTGTTGTTACTCATGGTGTAATGGTGAACCAGATTGAAAGAATTTGTACACAGAGATGTGGTGATTGTTGTTGAGAGTGGCACTAGATGTAGCATGGGCCCATAACCTGTTGGAGGTGAAGAAGACGAGAAGCTGAGAAGCTAAAGAGACATGAAGATGTCTGAAAGGAAAAAGGTAATGTATTGAGGAGATCTGAAACAGTACAAGTGTGAAGTCAGAGGAAATAAGAGGGAATAAAGAAAAGAAAGGTAAACATAAAGAAAGATAGAGAAAAAAGAAGAGAGAGAGAGAGATGAAGAGTATCCAACAAGTTCAATGCACATAATCTGAGAAATGTGAACAGAAAATGTGTAGAAAATGCAAGAAAAGACCTTAAAAATGCACAGAACCAAGGGAACTTGATGTGCCTGTGTTCACCTTTGAACATCTTGTGGAAGTGAGACTCAACAGCTTGATGTGGCAAGTATTTCCAGTTCCTTAGTCATGATCATTGCATGTATACAGAGGTTGAGTTGGGAGCATGACAGCTGTACTGGAGTAAGGGAGAAGGTGAGCAAAACAGGTGATGAGTATTGTGTACATGTACATGATAAAATGGGGATGTGGTGAAGGTAGCAGTGAGGCTCTGGAATGGCAGTAATAGGATAAGGGCGCCAGATGGAGGGCAGAGGGACATGGTGGTGGGAGAAGATGAGGACATTGAAGCTGCTGATGACAGGGTCAGAAGCAAGGAGGGGGAAGTGAAGGAAAAGTGGAGAAGATGGAAAACTTGGAGGCTCTTGTGCTTCTATGTCCATGATGCTGTGGGTGATGTTGGAAGGAGAAGAGCTGATGTAGAAGCCAATGCTGCAGGTTGTGGAAAGTCGTTCCATGGCATCCAATACACATTGTAATTTGTCAACAAATAAAACCTCCAATCACATTGGAAGTTGTCAATGAATAAAAAAAAATGGATAGGGAAGAGGAAGGACGAACCAGCCATGAAATTGGAGAGGTTTGGCAAGTAGCCTGTGCAGCAGGCCAGTCATGCAAGGGCTGTATTTCTTCTGCAGCTCCACCTGAGCCTTGTGGCGTTGCTTCAATGTAGGCACAGCAGCTTTGGAAGAGGACTGCAGTGAAAGAGAGACATGAGTAAAGTGGAAGAAAAGAGTGCCAATAAGAGAAGCATATGGAGACCTTTGGCCAAGGCTTCAAGTCAGCGTTGTGGAAGCTTGTAGATTCAGAATGGGGCAGCATGGACTTCTCCTCTGTGAGGGATGCAGCTTTGGCAGCAGTGAGCTCATGCTGCAGTCCATGACATCAAAGGTGATCATGGCTGGCTTCTGGATGTTGATGGTATGGCCATCAGGTGTGATGTACTTGGTGGGGCAGATGCATTTCCAGATGTTACAGCCTCAAGCACCTCAGCAGGTGTTGCAGTTCAAGGTCGCTGTATTTGATAGGTGAGGCATGATGAGGAGAAAAATATAAAAAGGGGAGCTCATGTACTAGGTTGTGCTGGGTGGCAAGGGCTGCAGGGTTAGTCTGGGATTTATCCCATTAGGGCCAGGAGTATCTTTTCTGGGACAGATACTATTCTGTACTGGCCCTCATCTGCCCTTGTATGATGCACCTGTAGACTGTTGTGCTGTACTTGTTGGTGAAGAGGGCTTGTCATAGCTCCCTATGTTCAGGCTTCTCCACTTCAATAGGAAAGGTATCAACCATTCCTGTGGAATGCAGTCAGGCAAAATGCTAGAGGGGATGATTAAATCATGATAGAAACCTCACTGCACCTGTGAAGAGATAGGGGAAGTCAGGGGTATCATCCCACCTGATCTCATCAATCATGTTTGCCAGGGTGATGAGGTGTGGCAGCACTGTTTCTTGCAAGTTGATGCAGAACAGCCAAGAACAATGCTGCTCTGGATGGCTAAAGCCAGTTAGCTACTTTGTTCAGGTTGAGGGGTTTTAGGGATGGCACCTGGCGACGGGTTGGATACAGGTGGATATAAGCAAGGGCCTGCACAAAATGTGCCCATTGTATGCTGTTGCTTTTCATGCTGTTTGTGAAGCTGATTATGCACCACAACTGCATATGTGTATGTGATAGAATGTTTGCTAATTCATCTCCTAGCCCACAGAAGAGGAGCTCTCCATGCCTCCTGAGGAGGCCATCTCAAGTGTTATGGTGTCCTCTGTGCAGATCATGTGAAGTTGAATGATCAGTTGGTGACCACTAGAGGACACAGAGTTCTCTCTACATCAATGAATAAGATGGGCATTCTGACCATGGAGCATCTGCTTGTTCAAGAGCTGCCTCCCTCTCTGTGCATCCTTAAAGATGACATGCCTGAATACTGCATCATCAACAACAATCATCACATAGACTGCACAGCAGCTTTTCCCTGCTCTGACTAATACCCTTTCTCCATATCCAGAACATGGTCTCAGAAGACAACATTCACAGACACACAACACAATCATGAATGGTGGAAGAGAGGCATACCTTGTTGGACATGAGGGCCTGTGGCACTGCCATCCTCCAGCTTGAGCTCCAGCAAATACTGGAGATTTGTGCCAATGATGAGCAACATGACACACATGACACACACACAACACACACATGACACATGTGACAACACACATGGGCACATAGGGGCAGTCATACCTGTCTTGTTGTGGAAGGAGCCCTTGAGGAGTTTGATGGAGGCTGCATTCAGTGTCACTCCTTTGATCCCAACACTGGGGTTTCCTCAGCCACACTTCAAGAAATGATGGCTACTGCTAGTTAGACATCTCCTTTCAAAAGTTGTTGTTGGTGGAAAGGCAATGTGAGCCTGCTGTACAATGGTGGGGGAGTCACAACAAAGGATGAGGCATTGCTCAGGTACTTAAAACCGTAGACAAGCCACCAGATGTGGGCACCACTGGAGTTGTGGCTGCTGCTGTCGTAGTTGTGACAGAGGCAGTGGTGATAGTCAAACGAGGGGCGAGGGCGAGAGGAGGTGAGGGCGACCGTGGAGAGCTGGCGCTGGCGAGGGCTGCCCACGAGTACTGCACCCCCTGCCCCCGTGGGCACTTGTGGCGCTTCCTCGCACCTCCCGCCCCGGCTGGAAGCGAGGAGGGCAAGGAGCCTGGCGAGCCAGAGGACAAGCTGCGGGCTCCCGGGGCATGGGAGGTGGTATGCAGGTGCACAGCCGACGACGAAGGCGCCCGCGGTCGCCCCGGCGCGGAGACGTCGGATTCTGTACAGCGCCGGCCACCGCCCGGTGGTGCGAGAATGGGTTGCGGTTGCGTGGGGCGGGGAGGCGGCGGCGGGGCGCGGGACCCCAGTTTGTGTAGCGGGTGTGAGGAAGAAGAAGACGAGGAGGAGGAAGAAAAGGACCCGCCAGCAGTGGAGGAGACAGCCCCCACGTCGCGCTGCGCGCAGAAGTGGTGTAGGGCGGAAGCTGCTTCCTCTTCGTTTGGCTGCTGCTTATGTTTTGCTGGCTCCTCCGTTGGTGGGTGTCCCTCTACATTGCCCATGCCGTGACGTTTGTTGTGGGGCGAGCGCAACTGTTTCCAGACTGAAAACCCCGACAGGAAACGGGAATTCCTGCTTCTTTTTCTCTTTTTCTCTTTTTCTCTTTTCGTAAAAGCAGTTTTTTGATTTTAATAATTTTTGCAGCGGCGAACCAAGAATGCACATCTCCTCGGAGCACCTCGGCAACCTGCACAAGTACAAGTACAGTGTCATCGACGTCAGGTACGCACTCACCAGCCTGCCTGGCACGACCCCGCCGCCGCCGCCGCCGCAAGCGAATCCAAGTGCTCATCGCGTGGTGGTCGTGGTGCGGGCGTGTAGTCCGTTGAGTATTTATGTGCTGCAGCCCTACTGGAACTACTCCATCCGGTTTGTGCCCCACTGGATCGCGCCCAACCTCGTGACGCTCTTCGGGTAAGGCTGCCCCTCCTCGCTTCCGACGTGTGATGCTGCTCCTGCTGGGGGTGGTTTGTGGGGGGGGGCTCGGGTGCTGGGCACCACGCACCACCAGCCGCCACCGCGCAACGTGGACCACCCTGACGTGTGCCGTGGCGGCGGCGGCGGCACGTGCGCAGATTCTTCGGGCTGCTGGCCAACTATTTGGTGGTGGCCTACCACCTGCCCCTCATGGAGGGTCCCGCTCCTGCCTGGGTCTTTGCTCTCTCCGCTTTGGCCATCGGTCCCCCCCCCCGCCCACGTTTTCTCTCCTCCTCCTCTTCCTCGTGCGCCATGCACAGCACGCACGACACTCTATCAGAGAGGGGCAGCTGGCAGCGGCTATACTGACCAGCTCAATATGGTGTCGTGTGTGTCGTGTGTGTGTCGTGTGTAGAATGGTATTCGCTACTGGACAACCTGGACGGGCGCCAGGCGCGCCGCACCGGCACGTCGTCTCCCCTGGGCGAACTCTTCGATCACGGCTGCGATTGCCTCGCTGTTGCCGTACGCCAGCCCCACCCACCTTCCACCACCGCCACCACAATCTTCTGGACACGTGGCCAAGAAGAGGGCCAGGAACGAACGAATGAATACACCGTGGCTGATGGCTAATCTGAGCCATCGTTGCGGCGGTCGTGGTTCGCAGGTGGGAGCGTGCACGGCGTCGTGCATCTACCAATTCGGCACCTTCTACTCGATGCTCGAGCTCGTCACCATGTCCGCCGCCTTCTGGCTGGCCTCCTGGGAAGAGTACACACACACACACACACACACACACACACACACACACACACACACACACACACACACACACGACACACAACGCTGGGCCAGTCGTTACAGCCCCCCCCCCAAAACGCCCCTCCACCTCATTTGCTCACGCGCTTCCGCTGGCGGCGGTGGGCGGTGGGTGCGGCCAGGTACCACACGGGCACCTTCTTCCTGGGGTTCTTCAACGGGCCGACGGAGGGACTCAAGATCCTCCTCTTCTCCTACCTGTGGACGGCGTTCGCAGGTACCCCCTCCCCGCGCGCGCGCGGCCTGCACCCTCAACCTCCCCACTCGTGTGGCGGCCGCCCTTTGCTCCTCTCTCCGAAGGGGACGGCCGGTTTTATCCTACTGCGCACCCAGTGCTGCTGCAGAAAGAGGGGGCTGAAGGTTGGCGTCAGTCGGGACTAACCATCCTGGCGGCGGGGGCGGCGGGTGGGCGCGTACCTTATGCAACGTGCGTGATGTGTACGTTGTGTTGTGTTGTGCCGTGTCGTGTCGTGTGTGTCGTGTGCGTCGTGTGCGTGTCGAGCAGGGCCGCAGTTTTGGCTGCAGAATTGGAAGGCCGTGCTGCCCTTCGCCCTCCCCGGTGAGTGGCCCGACTGGGAAGTGCGCACCGTGTGCGTCTTCCTCTCGGTGACTCCCATGCTCGTCACCTTCTACTACAAGTACACTGCCCACACGACACACACGACACACACGACACACACGACACACACGACACACACACGACACACACACGACACACACACGACACACACACGACACACACACGACACACACACGACACACACGACACACACGACACACAGCTCCTCCCGGCACTCAACTGTTCACCACCACCACCACCACCACCACCACCACCACCACCACCACCACCACCACCACCACCACCACCACGACGTGGTGTGACGGCTGGTGGTGGTGTTTCCTTCCGTCCGTCCGTCCGTCCGTTTGGCGATGGGTCTGGCGATGGGGCTGGTTCCTCAGCATTAAGTCGGTGCTGGCGCACAAGGCCAAGACGAACCAGCCTGTGGGGCCAGCTCTCAAGGGCGTGGCCACTTTCTTCATCTACTGGGCCATGGTCGCCCTCTGGTACTATTGCCTCCACCAAACCACCGCCGCCGCCGCCGCCGCCGCCGCCGCAACCTCACATGGGCCGCTCCGTCTCCGCAGGTATACCGCCAGCAGGTCCCTGTGGTCGGCCCACCCTCACGCCCTGCAAATGGCGGTCGGCATCGGGTTTGGCGAAATGTCGGTACGTGGACCTCACACGCCCCCAGCCACGCACCACGAACCACCTACCGCCCCCGCTGCCGCCCCCGCCAGAGTGACCCCGCCCCTGCGCCCTCGCTGTGGGCGTCAGCGACTGCCCGACCTACCTACCTCCCGTTGCGGGGGGGAGGCGGGCATAACGAACGTAAGCAGCCAACTAACCGGCGCCGCGCGCGCGCATGCACACCTGTGTGGACAGTCGCGGCTCATTTTGAGCCATCTGTGCAAGATGGAGTACGCCCTGCTGCAGCGCCCGATGCTGCCCCTGGCCCTCGCCGTCCTGTGCTCCCTGTCGCCGCACGTGCTCCCAGCGAGCCTCGGGGTCGCCATCGACGAGGAGCTGGTGATGTGGGCCTACCTCGCCATCACCATCGTGGGGTACTTCTTCTAGCGCCCTCGCTATTCGCGGCCCTGAACAACAGACGAATGTATGATGTGGTGCGCGTGCGGTGGTGCGTGTGCTATTGTGTGTGGTGTGTGTGTGTGTTTCAGGTTCGTGCACTATGCGTGGACCATCGTGAACGAGATAACAGCCTTCCTCGGCATCTCCTGCCTCAGCATCCCCAAGGCCAAGTGGTACAAAGGCCAATAGTTGTCGTACCCGTACTCCCTCGCCACAGGCTGTGCTCTCTCTCTCTGGGTAGTACGTCGTATAATATATCAGCAGTTACACCACCGCGCCGTGTCCTTCGTCACAGCTGTGTCAACCAAGTCATCCTACACAACTTTGCTGTGGCCGGGCCTTGTCCACCAGGCCAGCGTGGCTGCACGTTTTGTTGAGCCCGGTTGTGGTCTTCGCGTGTGTTTGCTAACGGTACATGGCGGTAAAGAATGAGGCATTTGGGGGGGGGGCTCTTCACTTCATAGTCCGGTTGAGCAGGACGCTGACGAGCTCCCGGTCGTGGTGCGCCACGGTCTCCACGCTCAGCGTGCTCAGGTACAGCGTGAACAGCTCGTAGCACCGCAGGTTCCCTGACATTGGCGGTGAGTGGAGTGATGCCTGCATTGCACACACGACGCGACACGACGCGACACGACGCGACCAACGAGACGACACACAGGTTGGGGTGTGGGCTACCTCGCGTGGGGAAGAAGCGGTGCATGAGCTTCTGGTAGAACTTGTTGGTCTGGGGCACGTGCGGGGTCCCGAACGGCACCTCGGGCGGGAAGATCAGCTCGAACCTGCCCGAGCCACGGGCGGTGGAACCACAACGCAGCACCACCACACGTACGCAACACGACACACGACGCACACCGCATGTGGGGTTGGGGGTTGGGGGTTGGGGGTGCGGGGGGGGG